TGCCAGCGCTTGGCCGGGAACATCTCCCTCATCGGCCGCGCGGGGGGGGGGCCCGTGGACCAGGCTGAAGCCGTCGCGGAGTCCTTCTGGATCCGCGGCGTGCCCGTACATGCCTGGGTAGGCCTGTCCCGGCCCCCGCCCGTGCCCCTCCGTGCCCGAGGGGCATCCGTCGCATCTCCAGATGCCGACATTCCCCTTGTGGAATTGGCTGATCAGGCGGTCGTCGTTCGTGACGCTGGCTGGGAGGGTGGTTCCCGCGTTGACGGGGTTCAGGTCGCCTTCCAGCGGGACCAGCAGCTGGTCCAGGGGCGTCAGGGCCGTGGGTAAGGGCGTCGGACGCATCCCAGGAAGGGCACGCGTTGCGCGGACAGGCATGTCGTCGGGGCGGTCGTTGATCCAGGTTTTGCTGTCCACGTCGTCAGGAATGGGCTCTCGCTCGGCCATTGCCTTCGTAATCCAGCAGCATGTGCAAAGCCAGGTCAGGTCCTTCCCATGACAGTATTCCGTCAGCCTGTTGCTGCAGACAGACAGACACACATGCTCACGGGATTTCTCGTCAACTTCGCCTGACAACAACAAAAGGCAGCAAAAGCCTGGCTCCTGAGAAGCGAAGCCGCTTAAGAACGCCATTTCACAAGCGTGGGGGCCGCGCGCGCGTCACGGGGGGAGGCCCGATCGAGGGCCGAGACGCCCCCCCGGAGCCAACGCGACGGAGCCCAGGGCCAGGGCCGCCTTGCAGGCCACCAGGAGGGCGCCAAGACCACCCGATCAGGCCCAGCCCCCCGACGCCCCACCCCGCGGGGAGGCAGACCCCTCGCCGCGGGCATTGGGCCCAGAAGGGGGCCTCCGATGGGGGCTGAGAACCCGACTGTCTCCGACGGGAACCCAGACAGCGCCCGCGAGGCGCCTGTCTGGGGAGATCAATTGTAAGGGCCGAGGTCGGACGAGGGGCCAGAGGGGGTCTCGGCGGAAAGCGGCCTGCAGCCAACATCACTTGAAACCTCGCACTCTGAGACCAATCGAGGTTCGTCGACCTCGGAGCCAACAAGTTCTGACTGGCAGGAGGCGCAGCCTCAACCGAGCCCCCCACTCCGGGCACACACTTCGTCCTGGAACACAATAGCCTACATCTCGCTGATCAGCTTCGACAGGGCCCGCTGCAACGGGCCAGGGGGCCGCCCCCGCAACGCCTCCGAATTCTGTCCGTGCAATTGCGGGAGCTCCACTGCGTGCGCGATGCGCCCCTCCGTCATGCCCCGCTGCTCCTGCGTGCTGCTGCCCTGCCCCATCGCCCTTGTCGGGCTTGCCCTCGTTCGCCTTCCAGCGGAAGTACGGCGCCAGATCAGCAAATTGATGAGGAGAGTGAGCCATCACCACGTCCTTCCACAAACTCTACAAGCCCTTCGTCAGCTCCGCGTTGCTCAAGTGGCCGTCCGTCCCCCACCACTTCACGGGCGCCACGAAGACCCCCGCGTGTAGTGGGCCCCTCACCTCGAAGTCGACCGTCTCTAAATTTGCCGCCGTGTCGAGCAGCACACTTGACTGCGCGTCGCACTCCCTGCCTGCGGCCTCCTGTTCCTCCGCCAGGCCGCCTCTCACGACCTCGAACATGTTGTGCTACACGTCGGCCAAATCTTCGATCTCTCGGGAATCCACCAGTGCGAGGTCCCCCATCATCTTCACCGTCTCGCGAAGGCCCCTGCCGCCACCGCCCCGCCCCTTGTTCACCGCGTCCGCCCTGGAGCTCTTGGCAAGAGGAAACTGCATCGCCGCGCCCTGCGCTGGAACTGCCGCTTCAGTCTCTGACGTGTAGTGCGCGTAGGAAGGCGGTGCGGTAGCGCAACTCTCGGTAGGTGCTGAACCAGATGGCTACAGATATGATCCAGGTCAGCGTGATCGACCCCGCATATTCTGCAACCCGGACCATCAGGAGGGGCCAGACCATGAAACTGCCGAGCCCCATCAGGAAGACAGCAACCCCGAATCAACGATCGGGAGAAATGGCGGCCAGCGACCACCCTAGAGCTAAGGACGGTGTGACAGACCACGTAAATCTTTGTGAGTGAGAATACGTGTCCAGCATTGCGATCATGGTGTGTACCTCGTAGATGGTTCAATAGATCCCGTTCCGTTCGAAACGCGGCCGAGCATGGCACCCCGTCCTCCTCCACCCACTCGCACTTCCATTGTCGAGGGACCTCAAGACCAGGGGGGGGGGGCTGGAACTTTTGCGGGAGCTTGGAAGCCTGGAGGAGGCGCCACTCGAGTCTGGACCGACCGACGGACCGAGAAATCGATCTTGACAAAGTCGGGCGCCAGCTCGGGGTCCACGAACCTGCACGTGCACTCCGAGAGCTCTTCCATGACCAGGGCCTCCTCCCCAACAGTATGCCCGGCCTCCTGAACATCATCCTGAATACGACGAGCTCAGGGAGACGCATGCCTTGTCAGACGGTCCTGAAATACGAATCTGAAACGGTCGAACCCCAGCGCTGGCAAACGGCCAAACAGTACACACAGAAGCTGCTTGTTGTTTTCAGGAAGGCAAGCAATCTGCTGGTACCAACTCAAGCGCCTGACGAGCAACTCTTTTGCACTCGGCACCTATTTCCAGTACTGCCGAACTTCTGAAAAAAGAGACCACGTCTTGGTATGTGCACCTTCATGTGATGTGCCCGACCATGGAGTGGTACCCAGCTAAGGCGTGCGAGGTGAGCGTCCGATTCGTTCCACTGCTGAGAGGTCACCATCATCGCCTCCAGTCCGCTGAGCAGCGCATTCTGAACGAGCCCAATGAGAATAACTCTAGTCCACCTCCAAGGACACTTCAGGGACCAGAAACCAACCATATAATGGAAGCCTGCTGATGCTGCCCCCCTGCGCCTGGAGATCTCGGGGCCCGTGATGCCTGACAACGAGATGTGGGGCCGAATATATCTAGTACATTTGTGAATTCTCCTTTCTAAGAACAGAATAGGATCTCCCCCCACCCCCCCGGCGTTATCGCCCACCCTTTCGGTAAGTAAATCATATATGATTCTGACCACATGTCCATCCCAAGTATAAAATCGCAATGCCCCAGGCCAACCGGTATCCCCCCCTGAAGGTCCCTTGTTAAAACATATGCGGTGACATTTTGTTCTAACATAACACTTGTTCGCAAATCCCTTGCAAAAACTGGACGAAGTGCACACGCGCGCGTCGTCGCGCGCGCATGCCGAAATCCTTCAAAAACCTTCGGTGCCGGAAGGATTTCGCAATCGAGTTTCCAAAAACACATACAAAAACACATGGTTTCGCAACACTGATTTGCTAAAACAACTTCCGCGCGAGCTCTTGCGAAATCTCAAGAAAACCATTGGTTGTTCCAGATTTTCACAAAATGCTATTAAACGGGCTTCGCGCGCGCGCATGTCGAAATCTGTCGAACGCCCTTGCGCGTGAGCCGTCGCGAGAATCCTCTGCAACAAATGTGACGAAGTGCAGACGCGCGCGTCGTCGCGCGCGTACGCCGAAAACCTTCAAAACCCATCGGTTTCGGAAAGATTTCGAAATCGTGTGTCCAAAAAACCTACAAAAACACGAGGTTTCGCAAAACGGATTTTCAACAAAAGCGTGCGCGCGTGCCCTTGCGTCGTCGTCGTTGTCGTCGCCGTCTTCCCTCCTCCCGCGTCGTCGTCGTCGTCGCCTACGCCGTCCTCTGTCTTTCCTCGTGTTGGTCGTCGTCGTCCTGGTCGTTTCCGTCGTCGTTGTTGCCGTGGTCGTCCTTCCTCCTCCTCCGTCGTCGTCGTCGTCGTCGTCGTCGTCGTCGTCGTCGTCGTCGTCCGTCGTCGGCGTCTCGTCGTCGTCCCTCCTGTTTCGTCGCCGTCGTCGTCGTCGCCGTTGTCGTCGTCGTCTTCCCTCCTCCCTCGGCGTAGTCGTCGTCGGCGCCGCCGTCCTTCCTCCTTCTTCGTCGTTCGCGTCGTCGCCGTCCTCCCTCCTCCCTCGTCGTTGTCGTCGTTGTCGTCGTTGTCGCCGTCGTCGTCCTTCCTCCTCCCTCGTCGTCGTCTTCGTTGGCGACGTCGTCGTCGTCTTCGTCGTCGCCGGCGTCGGCGTCGTTGTCGTCGTCGAAGTCGTCGGGGACGTCGTCGGTGTCGTCGTAGTCGCCGTCGTCGTCGTCGTCGGCGTCGTTGACGTCGTCGTCGTCGTCGTCGTCGTCGTCGGTGTCGTCGTTGTCGTCGTCGAAGTCGTTGGAGACGTCGTCGGTGTCGTCGTAGTCGGTGTCGGCGGCACCGTCGTCGTCGTTGTCGCTGTCGTCGTCAGCGTCGGTGTCGTGGCCAAGTGTCATGTGGTACGTACCGTCACGGTCTTGTCTTAAGAGGTCTTGCGACCAAGTTGCGGGTGGGAGGGTGGGATTTTTGCACGAGCAGTGGAGAGGACAGCATCAAGACGGTCAAAGATTAACCTCACCTCCTAGAATGGGTACGGAGTGTTGGCGGAGCCACCTCTTGACCTTCAAGCTCCCTGCTCCCGAGACGTGAAAGAGGGTGACCTGCTTACTCTTGTTGGCTCCGAAGCCAACCTCCTCCAACTCGAATATCCGATCAGAATCTCTCATCCATCTCAAGAAATCAGAAATCCTCTGGAAAAGAGACGCCACCATAAAGTTCCAGATGTCGTCGGCATATTCAAACATGCTCAGGCTAGCTCTCAAGCCATTCCATTCGGCGATGAGGGCCCGAGAAATACGATAGGACTCCCGATCCTTCCAAGAGAAGATACGACGGCTGAACGTGCCCCTGAAGAGAGTGACGATGTATGGGTCCTCCATGGTGCCACCTACGCCTGGTTGGAGCCACAAGGGGGTACCCTCAGCCGTGGGGAGGCAAAAACGAGACTCGATATCTTTGCATCGCAAGTGGAACGTCTAGGTCATTCTCCATGTGCAAGCCCACTGACCCCAGGAAGAAGAGGAGCCCAAGAGGAGAGGCCGCCAGCCGCGAGAAATGGCGGGGGCGCGCCTCCCGCAAGAGCAGCTCGGCCTCCTGGGGGAGCGAGAGTGGGCGCTCACTGCCATACTTGTCCCGCCTCACACCCCATTCCTTTTCCTTATGAATAACTCCTCCCTGTCGCGCCCCGAGGCCGGTCGGAAGGGCGGGCCGGGCGTTCCGCCTGAAACTTCCTTACCATAATTTCGAAGATGTCTCAAGCGAGACGGGCCATACCGACTCGCCCGCAGCATCTCGGAACCCCAAAGTTGGAGGATATTTCAAGCGAAACGGGCCACACACAACCGTGCGCACATATTCTCAGAACTCAGAATTGCAAGGACGTCTCAAGCGAAACGGGCTGGACCACCTCTCGCGCAGCATCTCGGAGCTAAGGGGTGCGAGGATGTCTTAAGCGAACAGCGTCAGACCACCTCTCGCGCAGCAGCTCGGAGCTCAGAGTTGCGAGGATGTCTCAGGCGGCGCCCAGACACCTCTCCCAGAACACACTCCGACAACAGATTTGTAATAATACGGTTCGTTTGGGTCAGACTCCTCCTCCCTCTCGGAGCCCAAAGTTACGAGGATGTCTCAGGCGGAACGATCCAGACGACCACCTCGCCCGCAATTTCCGCAGCCCCGAATTGCAAGGATATCTCCATGGAGACGGGCCATAGCCTCATAGCTCAGAACTGCACAGCTGTCTCGGGCGAGACGGGCTGGACCACCCCTCGCGCAGCACCTCGGAGCTCTCTTTTATCCCCCCCTTCTCTCGAATCGTCCTGCCTCCTCCCTGCTTGCCGCGCTCCAACTCGACAACCTCCTCCTCCTCCTCCTCCCCCTCCTCCTCCTGCTCCTCCTCCACCTCCTCCCAGAGCACAAGTCGACAACCTCCTCCTCCTCCTCATCCTCCTCCTCCTCCTCCTCCCCACCTCCTCCTCCTCCTCCTCCTCCTCCTCCCTTTCGGAACCCCGAGTCTTGAGGATGTCTCGAGCGACGAAACGGACCACCTCTGGCGCGCGGCATCTCGGAGCCCCGAATTTGCGAGGATGCCTCAAGCGAGACGCGCCAGACCACCTCGCGCTCATGTGCTGAGAGCCCATAATTGGGAGGACGTTTCAAGCGAACGAGCTGGACCACCTCGCGCACATATCTTCAAGGAGCCCGGAGTTGCGAGAATGTCCCAGGCGAAACGAGCTGGACCACCTCGCGCGCAGCATCTCGGAGCCCCGCATTGCGAGGATGTCTCAAGCGAAACGGGCTGGACCTCCTCGCATGCGCCATCTGGGAGCCCTGGATTGCGAGGATGGCTCAGGCGGCGCCCAGACCCCTCCCAAAGCCTGATTCGACAACAGACATGTACCTAATCACATAATTCGTCCGGGTCTGACCCCTCCTCCCTCCTCTCTCCTCCCTCTCGAGCCCCGAATTTTGACAATGTCTCAGGCGAAACGGGCCATACCGACTCGCCCGCAGCATCTCGAAGCCCCGAATTTGGAGGATGTTTCAAGCGAAACGGGCCACACACACACAACCTTGCGCACATTTTCTCAGAGCTCAGAATTGCAAGGACGTCTCAAGCGAAACGCGCTGGATCACCTCTCGCGCAGCATCTCGGAGCTGAGGGGCGCGAGGATGTCTTAAGCGAAAAGCGCCAGACCATCTCTCGCGCAGCAGCTAGGAGCTTAGAGTATCTCAAAGTTGCGAGGATGTCTCAAGTGAAAGGCTTCAGACCACCTCGCGCGCGGCAGCTCGGAGCTTAGAATTCGGAGAATGTCTCAAGCGAAACGCGCCTGGCCACCTTTCGCGCGGCATCTCGGGGCTCAAAGTTGCGAGGATGTCTCAGGCGAGACGCGCCAGACCACCTCGCGCGCGGCAGCTCGGCGCGAACTAGGAGGGTGTCTCACGCGAAAAGCGCCAGACCACCTCACGCGCGGCAGCTCGGAGCGTATATTTGTGAGCATGTCTCAACCGAAACGCGCCGGACCACCTCTCGCTCGGCGTCTCGGAGCTCAGAAATTGGGAGGATATCGCAAGTGAAAGGCCAGAACATTTCTCGCACGTCATTTCGGGGCTTGGAGATTCGAGTATGTCTCAAGCGAAACGGCCCGGACTACCTTGCGCGCGGCGCGCCGGAGCCCACATATTAGAGGACGTCTCAAGCCAAGCGAAACGGCAAATCCCAAACAACTCAGAAACAAGAGTTGCGGAAATGTCAAGGCGAAACGGCCCAGACCACCCGATTTGTTTTGAGGATGTCTCTGCTCTCCTTTCCCTCGGCCAGAATTTGCTTCTATCACAACAGCACCCCATTCAGGTAGCTGTTTGGGGAACAACGGAGGAAAGAAAAACAATGCACCAAAAGGGCGAAGGGCGGGCAACAAGACTAGACGGGGCATATGTTAAACAAAACGGAAGGGACATTGTGAAGAAGGACGGGCATGGGCAAGAGGGAGAAGATGGGCATGCGAGAGACAATAATAATACTCGTAGTCGGACAATGAAGAATATGAGCAGGAGTGGTAGCATTCGGAAAAAAACATAGTAGTAGTAGTAGTAGTAGTAGTAGTAGTAGTAGTAGTAGTAGTAGTAGTAGTAGTAGTAGTAGAGTAGTAGTAGTAGTAGTAGTAGTAGTAGTAGTAGTAGTAGTAGTAGTAGTAGTAGTAGTAGTAGTAGTAGTAGTAGTAGTAGTAGTAGTAGTAGTAGTAGTAGTAGTAGTAGTAGTAGTAGTAGTAGTAGTAGTAGTAGTAGTAGTAGTAGTAGTAGTAGTAGTAGTAGTAGTAGTAGTAGTAGTAGTAGTAGTAGTAGTAGTAGTAGTAGTAGTAGTAGTAGTAATAGTTGTTAGTTCCAGTAGTACTAGTAGTAGTAGTAGTAGTAGTAGTAGTAGTAGTAATAATAGTCGTAGTAGTAGTAGTGGTAGTAGTAGTAGTAGTAGTAGTCGTCGTCGTCGTGGTAGTCGTAGTAGTAGTAGTAGTAATAGTAGTAGTAGTAGTAGTAGTAGTAGTAGTAACTGAAATTAGTAAGAGTCGTAGATGTCGTCTGAATATCAATAATAAAAATCACGGCAGTAGTAGTAATGATAAAAGCCGAGGTGCTCATAGTAGCTGAAATTGTAATAACTAGTCGTGGCAACCGTAGAAGTAGTAGTAACAGTAGTAGTAGTAGTCGTAGTAATAATAGAAACAGCAATAGTAAACGTAATAGTCGTAGTAACCGTGATAGTAGTAGTAGTCGTCGTCGTAGTAGTAGTAATGGGTGGTGATAGCAGTAGTCGGAGTAGTAGTAGTAGTAGTAGTAGTAGTAGTAGTAGTAGTAGTAGTAGTAGTAGTAGTGGTAGTAGAAGTAGTAGTGGTAGTACTAGTAATAGTAGTAGTAGTAGTAGTAGTAGTACTACTAGTAGTTGTAGTAGTAGTAATAGTAGTAGTAGTAGTAGTAGTAGTACTACTAGTAGTAGTAGTAGTAGTAGTGGTAGCAGTAATAGTAGTAGTAGTAGTAGTAGTAGTGATATAGTAGTAGCAATAGTAATAGTAGTTGTCATTATAGTAGCAACAACAATAGGACTCCTACTAACAGTCGTAAGAATAGTAGTAGTAGCAATAATCGTAGTGGTCGTAGTAGTCGTAGTCATCGCAGTAATAGTCGTAGTAGTAGTAGTAGTAGTAGTAGTAGTAGTAGTAGTAGTCGTAGTAGTAGTAGTAGTAGTAGTAGTAGTAGTAGTAGTAGTAGTAGTAGTAGTAGTAGTAGTAGTAGGGGTGCACCTGGTCTTCGTGTCGCTACAAACCTCACCTTCGTGTACTCTCTTTTGTATCAGGCCTAATAGAACTCCTACCAGGGGGAATTACGAAAACCGTAGTTTCAAACCTGGCCTTCGTGTCTTTCGCGCCAATGCCTACCTTCGTGCACTATTCGCTGTAGAGGCTGTAGATTGGATTCGTATTAGAAAGTGAACAAAAAACGACAGTTTTACACCTGTCCTTCGTGTCGACGTCGGATTTGGAGCAACCGCCACTGCCAGCCGCTTCATTTCGGCACAACCCTCTCGAGGATCGTGGGCCTGGCCCTCCGACGCGCGATTCCGGCGCGCACTTCACTAGGATCGTGGCCCTGGTCCAAGTGGGAGCGCTGCCGAAGGCCCACCGACGTCCAATTCCGGCACGCCGCTCACGAGGATCGTGTCCTGGCCCACCTGGGAGCGCTGCCGACGGCCCACCGATGAGCAATATCGGCGCACCCCTCACACGGATCGTAGACCTCGCCACATTTGGATCGCCGCCCGACGCTGAAGTTCGGCACACCTCTCACATGGATCGTGGCCCTGGCCCAATGTGGAGCGCTGCCGACGGCCCACCGACGCCCAATGCCGGAACACCCCTCACGAGGATCGTGGCCCTCTGGTCCACTTGAGAGTGGGTTTTCATAAGGACGTCGTTCTGGTTTTATTCGGGAAGGCATTTTGGTTTTATTCGTTTCTGGTTCGTGATGGTTAGGAGGAGGAGGAGGAGGAGGAGGAGGAGGAGGAGGAGGAGGAGGAGGAGGAGGAGGAGGAGGGAGGAGGGAGGAGGAGGAGGAGGAGAGGAGGAGGAGGAGGAGGGAGGAGGAGGGAGGAGGAGGAGGAGGAGGAGGAGGAGGAGGAGGAGGAGGAGGAGGAGGGAGGAGGGAGGAGGAGGAGGGGGAGGAGGGGAGGAGGGGAGGAGGGAGGAGGAAGGAGGAGGAGGAGGAGGAGGAGGAGGAGAGGAGGAGGAGGAGGAGAGGAGGAGGAGGAGGAGGAGGAGGGGGAGGAGGAGGAGGAGGAAGAGGAGGAGGAGGAGGAGGAGGAGGAGGGGGAAAGGAGGAGGAGGAGGAGGAGGAGGAGGAGGAGGAGGACGAGGAGGAGGAGGAGGAGGCGGAGGAAGAGAAGGACGAGGAAGAGGAAAGCGAGCAGGAAAAGCGGAACGCTGTTTTCTCGTTTTCCACAATGGGTTTGCGAACCTCACCTTCGTGTACGATTGGCTCTATAACCCCTGTATTGTTTTCTTACGAGCGAACGGCGAAATTGTGGGTTTCCGAACCCCTTCTTC